GCGTGGGAGCGCACCTGGCCCCCCTGGCCGCCCCCCGACCCCCGCGCGAGTCCCCGCGGCGCGAGCACGCGCAGCCACGGGCAGCGGACCACCCGAAGGGAGAGTGGGCAGATGGGGTGGGGACGCGGGAGTGGGCCCCGCATTTTCTGAGACGCAAAGTAGCAACAATTGGTTTTAAATGAGGGGACTTCCATTTAAGCACCCCCCCTCCCACACACACCGAGTATTTAAAGACACGGTAGATATTACATTTAAAAAGTAGGGTTAAAACCTGTGCAGAGTGAAAGCTTGTTTGGGGAAAAAAATTACATATATGAATTGAAACAGAAAACAAAACAAAACAAAACCTTTCCTAGGAGTGACTTTGGGTGTAATGGTGTTATTATGGTTCATTGCTAAATACTCTCAGAGGCCCAAGACCGCAGACCCTTGTCTCCCTAGTCTAGGCGGCAGGTAGAGGTGATCCGATATGCATGCGAAGGTCAGAAGGACACAGGAACCCAGCCCCGTCCTTTACACCTTATGTATTTCCAATGCCTGCTTAATCTTGTCCCTCTCGGTTAAGCGGGGGTGGGGAACGGGAGATGGCTTCCCTCACAATTCCAGTCCCAAGCAGAGCAAAGGGCACATCTACCCTCCAGCCTGACTGGATGGCTAGGTTGCATATTTTCATACATTTTCTGGGTCTTTATCTAAACAAGTTGCTAGCCATAGTGAAAAGCACCGCAAGCATTTATTTTATTTGTACACATAACGCACGGGTTTCATTAACCAATGAAAGGTATTCCTGTGAGAGCTTAGGTGACATGCTACGGATTTAACATTACCTACCGAGGCATTGCTGGGAGTTCCAGCTGTGAGGTCCTCCCAAGGGTTGGGTCCCATCGCATGGTTGGCTCCTCCTGGGCCCTCCCAAGTGTACCATCCAGATGAAGACCCTATTAAAGTGGAGTAAAGAATTACTGAAAAGCAGTTGTACTTACCTCCTTTCTTTGATAGGATCATGATCTTCAGGGAAGTAAATCTCAGTTATCTGCTTTTGGATGCTTTTCCAGGAATATATTTTACCACGGCGCCTGGGTGGCTCAGTTGGTTAAGCAACTGCCTTTGGCTCAGATCATGATCCTGGAGTCCCGGGATCGAGTCCCGCATCGGGCTCCCTGCTCAGCGAGGAGCCTGCTTCTCCCTCTAACCTTGCTCTCACGTACTCTCTCTCTCATTCTCACTCTCCCAAAATAAATAAATAAATCTCTTAAAAAAAAAAAGGAATATATTTTACCTTTGTAAGATTCTGTAGCTCTCACTGAGATTCAAGAAAGAACGATTAGCACACAATAGCAAAGCTGAATCTAAGTTGTCAGGGTCCTAAATTTACAGGTAAAATTAGAAACAAGAGCTGTAAAACAGGAAAATCCCTAAGCATCTTAGTTGTAATTAAGAATTCAGTCTATCTTTGTGCGGTCGGCAAACACCAGCTGTGAAAATGTATTTATATCCCCAGATGGGTTGCTAACCCTGCTGACACTTTTGAACTTTAAACAAGCCAAAAGAAATCCATGCCACTCATTACTAATTGAGATGCTATTACTCGCTGAGATCCAAGTTTTCCCAAATCTACTAGATGTAGGTGTTTGCAACAATTTCAAGGAAAAATAAGATGAGCTTGGGGTGCCTGGGTGGCTCAGTCGTTAAGCGTCTGCCTTCTGCTCAGGTCATGATCCCAGGGTCCTGGGATCCAGCCCCGCGTCGGGTCGGGCTCCTTGCTCTGCGGGAAGCCTGCTTCTCCCTCTCCCACTCCCCCTGCTTGTGTTCCCTCTCTCACTGTCTCTGTCAAGTAAATAAAATCTTTAAGAAAAAAAATAAGATGAGCTTATCCAGATGAAGACAGGGTACAACAGCTGTCTTATTAGGAAGGAGTTGGAAGTGAGACAAGGGATAGGTTAAAACAATAAAGGCCCCCTAAATGACTTGTAGATCTTATTCCACTTTTCTTAAAAAAGGGGGGGGGACTAATGAAAGGGAACTGAAGGGCGGTAAGAGGTAAACTGATTTGGTATTTGAAGGGAAGAT